TCATCTTCGTCTTATACAGCATAAAATAAAATGGGCAAAACTAATCAGTGTCAAAATAAAACTAGTATTATTATTATTATTAATATTATTATTATTATAATTATTATTATTGAGTATTGTTATGTATGTAATGAATTGTTGCCTAAGAAATTGATTTATAGACTTATTTGTTGTTAGTCAAACAAGCAAGAACTGCCTGTAGCACGTAACGTATGAAATATAATAACCAACATCAGCCATTATAGACTTGCTTACTTGAGCAGTTTATAAATATAATTTGCTCATTTTGAGGGATCATAATTAAATAATTCTATATATATACATATATATATATATATATATATATATATATATGTATAAATAACCACATAATTATACACACACACACTCACACACACACACACAATCAGAAAAACAAACACACACACTCACTCACTCAAAGATACACACATGTTGATTATTTTAAGAAAAAATTTCAGAAAAACTTTATTAAAAGGAGATGACTTGAAAAACTCAGTTGAAAAAGCACTAGATAAACAATAAAAAATAATATTAATAATAATGATATGTATACACATACGAACGTACCTTCATAATCTCAACTTTAGTCAGTCCATAATTTTGGACCATCTGGTTGATGATCATAGGACAGAGAGGCACATCACTGGTCACTAGGGGGTCCAGAGACATTTCAATCAAACGGTCATACTCCGGATCGTCCCCACCCAACTTCATCCATTCGTGGGATATTATATCCTTCATTGATATCCTCTTGCTTACGTCAGTGCATAGTAGACGGCGAATTAATTTTTCACATTCTACGGGGAGAAGTTTTGGTTTCATTTTTTGATAATTTTTGATTAGATTTAGTAAGTCCTTTTTCACTTATATGTTTGTTCAGTATTCATTCGTTCGTTCGTTCATTCATTCATTTATTCATTCATTCTTTCGTTCGTTCGTTCTTTCGTTCGTTCGTTCATCAATTCGCTCAAACACTCATTTGCAACTTATTATTTTAGACACTTGAAATTTTATTTTCAAGCCTTTCATTCCAACTCTCTGCATAATATTTGCACAATTAAAGGACTACGTATGTCCATCAATGTATCAGATAAAAAAATGTAAGTATATATATATATATATACTCCTATATGTATATATATATATATACTCCTATATGTAAGTATATATATATATATACTCCTATATGTTAAAACCAAAACAACCAACTCCTATATGTTAACTCCTATATGTATGTGTGTGTGTGTGTGTGTGTGTGTGTGTGTGTGTGTGTGTGTGTGTGTGTCCGTATATATATATATATGTATGTATTGAATTAAGACTGTCAGAAATACAATTATCAATGAAAATCACAGCATGTTCGGCGTTAGTTAGCTTCCTGTCTAATTTTTCGATTTCTCCAACGGTTGATCGTAAATCATTCTCAAGTTTCTCGATTTCAAAACCAAAATTTTTATTTATTTTAAGCATGGTGGAACATTCAAACACGATATAGCAAAAGCTTTTTTCGGTATTTTTCCTATACCATCTTCGGTGTTCGAACTGATAACGTTGTGTATGTGGCCAGATCAGATGTTCAATAATATACTGTCTTAATAATATATACGATACATCATATTAGATTCTTGTTTGAAAAATGTAACCTCATAAATGAATTTTTATGAAAATGTTAAGTACACTCAAGCAAGAATTTAAAGTACCATTTTAGTACATACACACACACATACATAGACACACATACATACACACACACACACACACTTACATACATACTTAAACATAAACACACACACACACAAAGGCACGTACATAAACATACAATCACAGACAAGCACACAAAGGTAATATTTAAAAGTTTATGAAGTAGTTACAGAAAAATATCTTCTTTTTTACTTATTTGTAAAAAAATACTATCACCAGCTACCAATACTACTACCGCTGCTACTACAACTACTACTACTACTACTACTACCACCACCACTACTGCTACTACCACACCACTACTACTACTACTACACCTCTACTACTATTATTACTAATACTACTACTGCCACAGTAGCAACAACAACAACAACCATTAATAATAATAATGATAATAATAATAATAATTAAAAATAAGAACACTATTAACCAAACCTGTTGACATAAAAAATGGCACCCGAAACTTTCCCGCCAAAATGCTGCTTCTCAACTCTTGGAGTGTCTTTCCGTCAAATGGTAGACTACCGACAACCAGTACATATAACACAATACCCAGACTCTGTATGTGTATGTGTGTGTTTGCATGTGTTTGTGTGTATTTGTGTGTGTGTATGTGTGTGTTTATGTGTAACTTTAATTTTAGAGATTTTCATGTTAAAGTAAATTGAACAATTTCAGTTTTGCAGCATCTCTTTTTGCTAATTATGTTATATAGTGTTTTGTTTATTTCTGATCATATTACGTTATGGTTTTTTTTTTTTTTTTTTTTTTTTTTTTGGAGGTGGCCATACAAGCATTGCTTCAGGTCTCCATTAATAAAATTGTGTTAAATTGTGTTATGTTTGTGTGTGTGTGTTTGTGTGGGTATGAATGCTTGTTAGCAGTGTGAATGTGTTTGTATATCTGTGATTGCTTGTGTAAAAAAAATTTAATTAGCGTGAAGTATAACAAAATTTAAGGCAAGGTTAATTTTAACAACCTCAACATCAGCATCAACAACAGAATCGACAACAAACATCAACAATAACATCAACAGCTACATCAACAACAACATCAACAACAACACTAATGACAAAATCAACAACAAACCCAAATATCAACTTTGGGTCCATCGTACTCCTTCCCTTCAAAAAGTTCTGGGGCCGCGTATGGGGGACTGCCACAGTGGGTCCTCAGTAACTCTCCCGGTTTGGAGATGTTACTGAAGCCAAAATCTTCACAGAAAAATGTTTATTATCATTTTTTTAAATCGTCATCAACGTCATCATCATCGTCGTCACCATCACCGGAAGCATCTTTATGGCTCTTAAAACTACTATCATCATCAAAACGAAACGAAACGAAACGAAACATCATTACTACAACTTATCCTCCACTTTTAAATTGAAATCAGAATCCAGCAGAGGACTTTCAGCTTTCAAAACTACAATCCCCACATCAATTGTCTTCATCGTAACCATTATCATCGCCAACATCATCATCATCATCAACATCATCATCACCATCATCATCAACATCTTCATAATCATCATCATCACCATCATCATCACCACCACCATCATCATCATCATCTCCACCACCAGAGACATCATTACCAAAACTTACCGGCGACTTTTACATTGAGACCGCTATCTAGAAGGAGGTTTTCAGCCTTCAGGTCGCGATGGACCACATTCATCTTGTGGCAGTATGAGACAGCAGACACGATCTGTTTGAACTTTTTCCGCGCCTCCTTCTCATTCATGCGTCCGTGTGCCACAATGTGGTCTGGTGAAAGTTGATGGAGAACGATGGTGAAGATGAAAGGGATGGTGGTGGAGATGATAGAGATGGTGGTGGAGATGGTGGTGAAGATGGTGATGGGAATGATGTTGATTTTGTTGTTGTTGTTGTTGTGGTTTGTTTGGCGTTGTTGATGTAATTGTTGATGCTGTTGTAAATAGAGGCTAAAGATCACATGTCAAATGTTGCTGTTAATGTTGTAGTATGGTCTGATGGCTGATGTTATCGACATTACCAAATTTAAGATAGCATCAATAGTTACATCAGCATTACTAACATTAACAACAACAACATTAACAGCAACATCAACAACAACAAAATCAACAACAACATCAACATCATCAACGAACCAAATATTTCTCCACCACTGGCATACTCTGTCACTAAATAAATGAGCTTCTCTGTTTGCATTACCTTGAAGTAATAATAAAAATATATTTGATAAAAATGAAAAAGAAAGTCAGAGGGAAAGAGAAAGAGAGAGAAAGAGAGAGAAAGTGAAAAAGAAAGAGAGAGAGAGAGAGAGAGAAGAAAAAGAAAAAAGTTTGAAAGTTTCATATTGATTTATAGTAACATTTTAGAAAGTTAAATAAAAGTGCGTGTCTATGTGTGAATGTGTGTGTAAGTACGTCCTTGTAAAAAAAAGAGAGATAGAAAGAGAGAAAGAGAGAGAGGAGAGAGAGAGAGAGAGAGAAAGAGAGATGAAAAAAAGAAGAAAAGAAGGAAAGATAGTTATGGAGGAAAAAGGATAGTTTCGTATTTTTCTGAAATTTCAAAAATTTTTATTGAAAATAGCAAACTGCGTTTGATGCAGCCAAGTTTAATTGGTAGAACTTGCTGAGTTGCCAACTCAACCGGATGATAAATAACATGAATAAAATTAAATGGTCGTTCAACGAGAAACAACGATTGCATGTATGTATGTATGTTTGTATGTATTTATGTTTGTATGTGCGTATGTGTGTATGTATATGTGTGTGTGTGTATGTATGTATGTTTGTATTTCATTTCATTTCAAAGTTTTATTCATAATCAACAACATATCAAATAAGTGAATAAAAGTTATGAAGTTGAATATGCGGAGACCGAATAAGACTGTTTGTCTTGTGGTGGTCACCGCAGGTAGATACATGAATAGTTAATGAAATAAAATAAGGAAAATAACTGAAGCAGAAATATAATTAAAGATAAATAAGTGAATGTTCGTGTCATACATATATAGACATATAACTATGTAAATGATTCGCTCAGTACATATATAAACACATAAATGTTTAACCATTCATAAAGACCATTCATCCGCATCATTTGTTCTAACGTATTCTTAATATAGTATTAGGTGGTGGAGTCGAGATCCAGTGAATTTTGCACGGAATTTTGACTTGAAATGTTGTAGGTTTATGATGGCTCTTAGATGGGGAGATACAAGTTCTATCCAAATTTTAGGACCTGTTATTTTTATGCTTGTCTGGATTAATTTGAGGCGAGTTTTGTAGATAAGGAAGAGAGGGGTGTGTCTAGTGGTTGTAGATTGAACGGAATTACTTAATGTGTAGAAGTAGATAAAGTGAGGTGGGAGAAGATTGTTGATAAATTTAAAAACGAATAAAGCAGAGTAGTAAAGACAGATGAAGTTAAGTGGTAAAATTTTTTTTGCTAGGAAGAAGGGTTTAGTATGAGAATCGGGTTTGAGGTTAAAAATTAAACGTATTGATCTTTTTTGGGAGAGTATTAGGTTATTCAGGTGGCTTTTTGGACTATTTCCCCATAGTGTGATGCAGTAGGTTAGATAAGGGTACATGAATGTGTAATAAAGCGTGTGTAGGGCAAAAAGAGAGAGTTTATATTTGATTTTGTAGAAGATGCCTGTGAGTTTGTTGATTTTGTCTGAGGTAGTTTGTAGGTGAGAATTCCATGAAAGATTTTCTGTGATGGTGATTCCAAGAAATTTGGTAGACAGGGTGCGGCTTATAGGAACACCATTAATTAATAGGTTTAGGTTAGGAGCTTGGTTGGTGAGTATTTTTGGGCCAAAAATAATGTATGCACATTTCGAATAATTTATGAATAGTTTGTTATTGGATAACCAGTTAGAGTATTTTTGGAGTTCAAGATTGATATGTTCAGAGCAATCTGGTAGGTTGTTGGAAGTAAAAAGAAGGTTGGTGTCGTCTGCGAACAATACGCATTTGGTTGAGGGCGAAACATTGCAGAGGTCATTTATGTAGATAAAAATAGAAGGGGTCCTAGTATGGATCCTTGTGGTACCCCGTGATGAATAGGAGCGTGCTTTGAATTGATGTTGTCCATGGAAACATATTGTGTCCGTGATGAAAGATAGCTTCTCATCCAGTTGTGAGCTGTGCCTCTTACTCCGTAATGATGTAGTTTGGATAGGAGTATTTTGTGATCGATGACATCGAAGGCTTTGGATAAGTCCAGGAAAATGCCAATAGAAAGATTTTTGTTATCCATTTCATTTAGTATGTGCTGAGTGAAGTCAAGAATAGCAAGCTCAGTTGAGTGGTTGGGTCTGAATCCGTATTGGTTATTGCAGATAGTATTGTTGGAGCAGAAGAAATTAGAGAGTCTTTTAAAGAAAAGTTTTTCAAGAATTTTTGACAGCGGGGAAAGAATAGAGATGGGTCTGTAGTTGTTAATTTTATCTTTGTTTCCTTTCTTGAATACTGGTATGATTTTGGCTATTTTAAATGAGTCAGGAAAGATTTCAGTGCTTAGTGATAAGTTGAAGATATGATTAAGTGGTGATATGATAGAAAAAATTATGCTTTTGATAAGGAACATGTTGAGTTCATCGTCTGCATAGCTCTTTTTGTTTTTCAAGATATTAACAGTAGTTAATATTTCTTGTTCAGTAACAGGATATTGACAAATGGAATGGGGTGTGGATGGGCTCATAAAATCTGTAGGACTACCATAGCTGGGAGGTTGGTTTGAGAGTAGTTGGCTAGCGATGTTTGCAAAGTGGGTGTTGAGAAAGTCACAAATTTCTTGTTTATTTTCAATTGCTTGGTTGTTGATAGTTAGTTTGGTGATTGATGAGTTAGGAGGTTGCTTGTTTAGAATTTCTTTGATAGTGTTCCATTTTTGTCCAACATTGTTATGTGCGTCTTCAAGTTTGTTAGAGAAGTAGTCTCATTCAGTTTTTCGTTTAATAGATGTGAACATGTTTCTGAAGCTTTTGTAGGTGGCAATGTTGGGGGTGGTTGGATATTTAAGACTTATGATGTATAGTTTGTTTTTCTTTTTTGCAAGACTTAGAATGTTGTCATTGATCCAGCATTTTTTCTTTTTGTTTTTGACAGGACGGAGGGGGGCAAAAGTGTCTAGAGAGTGAGTTAAGATAGTATTCAAAACAGAGCAGCAGTCGTTGACATTTTTTAGAGAAGTCAAAAAATTCCAGTTGTAGTTCGATAAGAAATTGTTAATGTTGTTTATAGATTCTTCAGTTAGGTTTCTGAAGTGCTTAATAGGGGCATGGTTTGAGATTTCTGATTTGGAAGAGATGGCGAATATAGGGAAATGGTCAGATATGTCAGACAGAATTATTCCAGATAAGTGAGAAGTTAGGGTGTTAGTAAAGATATTGTCGATGAGTGAGCAAGAAGAAGTTGAGATGCGAGTAGAGGAGGTTATAAGAGGTAAGAAGTTGTATGATGATAGTAGGTTAGAGAAGTCAGTAACGACGTTGTCACTGTTGAGTTTATCGAGGTCAAGGTTAAAATCGCCAATTAAATAGCTCTTTATGTGTGGCTTGAATGTGGGTAAAATAAGTTCGAGCTTTTGGATTAAGATATAAGGGTCAGTGTTGGGGGGTCTATATACTGCTAAAATATTTACGTATGAGTTGTTTAATTTTAAATTGACACCAAGAAGGTCAATAATGGTATCGTTCAGAAGCAAATTGTTTATCATAGAAAATTCAATGCCTGATCTGATGAAGATTCCGACTCCACCACCTATTCTGTCAGACCT